AGATTAACAAAGGTTAAAGAAACAAAAGTATACCTCCCTTCAAATGCTCTGCAACCTTTTATTATGTAAAGCAAGAAACTGGATGTTGCAAGTCAAGATTTAAAGCAACTAAAAGCACATTACATAAGAAGCAGACAAAATTAATTAGGATAATAATCAATAATAGTTTTGAACATAGATCAAACAAAACCTGCAAATCATAAAGACCCATGTTAGGAAACAATGAAATCAGCCTAGAAACAAGAACTAACAAGATGGATCCCATCATCAAACAAAACAAACTTAAAAAAAGAAAAGGAAAGAAAAGAATAGCAAGCAAATGGGAGAAAGGAAGAGTGAAGAAAATGGGAGAAAAGGGAGTACCTAAGGAAACAATGAAATCAAGAGATGAGAGATGAAAATAATGGTAGAAAAAGGGAGAAATGGGTTTCAAGTAGATCCAGAGTAGCAACCTCTCTCCACTGTAGCACTTATTCTCCAACCCCAAATCCCTTGATTATGCAAAACCCTACAAATTGTCAGTCAAACTCAAACAAGAGTTAAATTATCTTCTTGAAAACCATAAAGTCTTAGTTTTGTTAGGGTTTTGAGACAAAATGTTGACAGGCAAACTGAAGGATGCCAACACGTAGTTGGCGTTGGCAGAATAGAAACCAGGACTACCGCTGCGTCCTTTTGCAATGGGGTTGAGGCGATCGTGGAGTATGAGAAGCTAGTGTTCAAGGAGGAAGAGGATGACCTGGAGGTCAAACTCCATTGCATCGTCGAGAATGTTCCAGTCCACGTTAGCAACACCTCTAACAAAGAGAAGAAACGAAGAGGATTAGGAAGAAATCACCCAAAATCAACACAAACTCAACTATTGACATCTTGTCATTAATGGATTAGAGTCGAGGAAATGAATTTGGCAATTAGGTTCAAATGGGTTTTTGAGTTTTAGCAAAATCAACTCCAAATTTTGGAGATTTGGGAAAGGGATGGAAATACTTAGGTTTATCAAGGGAGGGAAACTCAGAATTTGGGGAGGGAAAATTGGGAATATGTGGGGGGAAGGGAAAATGTATACAGATTACTAAAATTGAAAAGAAAAAAAATTATATTTAATAAATAGAGAATTATACAAACAGCGTTAATCCGTTTGTACAGTTACACGTATACAAATGAATAAGAATTACCATTAGAATTGACATACTCTGTACATATGGATAATTAGTAATCTATTTGTATAAATCCATCCTATGCTAATGGATATATTTTTTCATTGGTATAGACCGGTGTATACTGACTACTTAAGTTTTTTGTTGATATAGATGGTTTTATACAGACGGATTCATGTCCGTTAGTATAAACTTCCATTGGTAAAGGGCATTCTACTTGTAGTGAACTATTATAATAAATAAATAAAATAAGAACAAAATATAAATTTAAGAATAAAGAAAAGCGGAAGAATCATGAAGAAAGAGAAGGGAAGAAAACAAGAAGAAAAAGGAGTAGAGAAAAGTGAGAGGAAGGTAAAAAAAGGGAAGGGAAGAAGAGAAAAAAGGGAGAGGAAGAGAAGGGGAAGACAAAGATGAGGAGGAGGAGAAAGAGAGGTAGAGAAAGAAGAGAGGGAACCATAAAGAAAATAGGGAGGAGGAGAAGGAAGGAACATAAAAGGCAAAGAAGAAAAATCTAAGGAAAAGGGAGTAGCATCTAAAATATATAGGTGAACATATTTTGGATTGAAGACGATTCAAAACATATCAAAATTAAATTTTGGTGCCCCAATGTGGGATTAAAATGTCGTGAAAATTTTGGCGATTCAATATTCCAAATCGTTTTTGGTTTGAATATTGCAAACAATTTTGAATCTACCATTTAAAACTTTTGGTGGAAAAGGTGATAAACATATACAAACCAAGTGTAGTCCAAATATATATCTAATAAAAAACTCTGTAGATTGTGTATTTTGAGTTGGATATTTTTGTTGAAAATATTCAGATCAAGAATAGTCTGAATAAGCATAAAAGATTAATAAAATGAAAAAATATATATATTTGGACCATTGTCAGTCTGAATAAGCTGTCCGGATTGATAATGGTCCAAATATTATGGTCACAATACATTTCGGAACTTGATGCCTTAATCTGTGCTTAATTCGTTCTACTTTCATTGAATCACACAATACGAAGCACTTAAATACCAAAGAGTCTAACTTTAAAGCTAAACCTTTGTGGTTTGGCAATGATGTGGTCTTCCACCAGCATTAACCAACTTTAGAAGCATAATCGACGATGTTGGAGTTAAGGGCAACTAGAGTAGTGAAGGGCATGTAGCCAACCTTGGTAAAAAAAGGAATCAAGGCATGAGAATGTGTTGTCCTTAAACAAAAAGAAGAAAAAGTTTAAATGGAGAAGCTTTTAGATTATAGCCGGCCTTATTTTGACCACTGATGGTCCAAATAACCTGTTTAGACTAATAGTGGTCCAAAATCATGGCCAGAATACATTTCCTAGTCCAATGCCTCAAACCATGCTTGATTCATTTTACTTTTGTTGAATCGTAGCACTTGAATATCAAAGAGTCTAACCTTAAAGTTAATAACCTTAAGCCTACGCGTTTGTGGTTTTGCAATGATGTGGTCTTTCACTACTATTAACCAATTTTAGAAGTGTAACTGATGATGTTGGAGTTAGGAGCAATTAGAGTAGTGAAGAGCTCAAAACCAACCTTGGTAGAAAGGGAATCAGGGCATGAGAGGGTGGTGTTGTCCTTAAATGAAAAGAAGAAAAAGTTTAAGAAGAGAAGCTTCTAGATTTTGACTGACCTTATTTGGATCATTGATAGTCTGAAAAACCTATCTAGACTGATAGCGGTCCAAATATCATGGCTAGAATACATTTCATAGCTTGATGCCTTAAACCGTACTCAATTTTTTCTACTTTCGTTGAATCGTAGGATTTAAAGCGCCTAAATACCCAAAAGTCTAACCTTAAACTAATAACCTTAAGCTACACATTTGGGTTTTGCAATGATGTGGTCTTCCACCATTGCTAACCAATTTTACAAATGTAATCGACAGTGCTAGACTTAGGGGCAACTACAATAGTAAGGGGCTTAAAACTTGCCTTGGTAGAAACAGAATCAAGGCACAAGAGGGTGGTGTCTTGCTTAAACGAAAAGAAGAAAAAGTTTAAGAAATGAAGCTTTTAGATTCTTGCCAACCTTATTCAAACCACTGACAGTCCAAATAAGATGTACGTATTGAGGTTCGAATATCATGGCCAGAATACATTTCCTAGCCTTACACCTCAATAGGTGCTCGATTCATTCTACTTTTGTTGAATCATATGATTCAGAGCACTTGAATACTAAAGAATCTAACCTTAAAACTAATAACCTTAAGCTTACGCATTTATGGTTTTGCAATGGTGTGGTCTTTTGCCACGATGTGGTCTTTTGTCATCGTTAACCAACTTTAGATGCATAACTAACAATGTTGGAGTTAAGGGCAACTAGAGTAGTGAAAGGCACAAAATCAGCCTTGGTAAAAGCAGAATCGGGGCATAGGAGGGTGGTGTTGTTCTTAAACAAAAAGAAGAAAAACTTTAAGAGGAAAAGCTTCTAAATTTTGGTCGACCTTATTCAAACCATTAAAGGTATGAATAACCAGTCTGAACTAGCAGTGGTTCAAATATCATGACTAGAATACATTTCCTCACCTGATGCTTCAAGCTTCAAACCATGCCTGATTTGTTTGACTTTTGTTGAATCATAAGAATCAAAGCGCTTGAATACCAAAGAGTCTAACCTTAAAGCTAATGACCTTAAGCTTATGCATTTGTGCTTTTGCAATGATGTGGTCTTCTACCATTGTTAACCAACTTTAGAAGTGTAATTGATGGTGCAAGAGTTTGGGGTAACTAGAGTAGTGAAAGGCACAAAGTTGGCCTTGGTAGAAATGAAATTGAGGTATAAGAGGGTATTGTTGTCCTTAAATGAAAAAAAAAAAAGAGAAAAAGTTTAAGAGGAGAAGAGGAGAAGTTTCTAGATTTTGGTCGGTCTTATTTGGACCACTAACGTTCCAAATAACCTCTTAAAATCAACAATGGCCCAAACATGGCAAGAATACATTTCCTAGCCTAATGCCTCAAATCGTGCTCGATTCATTCTACTTTCATTGAATCATAGAATTAAGAGTGCTTGACTACAAAAGAGTCTAACTTTAAAGCTAATAACGTTAAGGCTACACCATTGTGGTTTTGCAATGGCTAATTTCAGACGCATAATTGATGATGCTGGAATTGAGGACAACTAAAGTAGTGAAAGGCATCAAGTCGACACTGGTAGAAACGGAATAGAGGCACATAAGGGTGGTGTTTTCCTTAAATGAAAAGAAGAAAAAGTTTAAAAGGAAAAGCTTCTAGATTCTACCCAATCTTATTCAAACCATTAATGGTCTGAATAGCCTATCCGAATCAATAGTGGTTCGGATATCATGGCTAGAATATATTTCCTAACTCAACACCTTGAACCATGCTTGATGTATTCTACTTTCATTTAATCATAGAAGTTATAGCACTTGAATACCAAAGAGTCTAACCTTAAAGTTAATAACCTTAAACTTATGCATTTGTGGTTTTGTAATAATGTAGTCTTCTGCTACCATTAACCAACTTCAAGTGCGTAACTGACAGTGCTAGAGTTAGGGGCAATTAAAGTAGTGAAGGGCATGAAATTGTCCTTGGTATAAATGGAATCGAGGCATAGGAGGGTGTTGTTGTCCTTAAATGAAGAGAAGAAAAAGTTTTTGTAATATCCCAAATTTTCTGATATTTTAGCATTTAGTTAGGTGCTTAATTGTGAAGAAATAATATTGTTGAGCCTAATCATCAAATTTTCAAAACTTGAGGGACTTAAAAGAGAAAAAGATTGGATAAGGATGGGCTGTTTTTCTTTCTTCTTTCGTTCTTCCTCAGCCCGTGTGTCCTGCTCTTCTTCTTCCCCGACCCCCCCGCACCAAACAAGGAAGCCCAGCCATTGACGCTCCCTTGCAAAATAAAAAATCGATAAAGCTTGATGATTTTCCCTTATTTTCTTGTTCAAGTACAAGATCTAAAGCTTGGAAATCTTTCCCCTCTGCAGAATTTCCAGATCTGCTCTATTCTTCCTCCTTTGTCGCCGGTTGCTGCTGGGTGTGAATTTCGGTTCTTCCTGGTAAAAATCAGCCATGAATTTTATCTTTTTAGCTTTGATTTGCCTTGGGCTTAGCTTTGATTTGCCTTGGGTTTACTCTAATTTCTCTTGGTCTCTCCCAATTTCCAGTAGATTTCTTGATTTTTACTTCCATGCCCGTCGGCCTCCCCCAAACCCGCCAGCTTCGGTTTGCTTGCTAGAAATTCTGGTATGAAACAACTTTTAAAGCCGAATTTTAAACCATTTAATCACTGCCTGTGCTGTTGAATTTTCCTGTGTAATATGGAAGAACCCGTTTGTTGTTGCCCCTATACTATTCAGGAATTTCTGCAGAAAAAGGGGATAAATTCCAACAGCCTTTGAACATGTTTTAAGTTTAATTCATGTAAAAAATTAGTTTATTTTGGCTGTTGTGATTTTTGGAGAAAACCTCGTGATTTGCTATTGTTTTGCCAAAGTTCAAGTTCTCCCTTTTCTGTCCGTGAATTTGGAAAATTTGGTATATATGTTGTCACGCCCCAAAACCTAAATTCGAGACGTGACAGACGTCGTACACTCGTGAGAGGTCCCACAAATGCACAAGGTTAGGAACTTATCATACTATAATCCGATACCACCAAATTTGAAGATAAACTTATAAAATTTGCTCTGATATCATAAATCTCCAAATAACGTTTATTTTACAAGATCATAATTTATATCTAAAATCTATATCAATCTCGAAGTGGCTAGCCTTCTAACTCGTCACTTCCCATGGTTTCCCCGTCCTCGGTTTCGCTTCCTCAAATGGTGGACAAGGAAAAACTATGAGATAAACTTAGTAAGTAAAATATAGAGTGCCCCTTATTAAACTTATAGCATACCAACAAGTATAATCACGAAAAACGGATACAGTACGGGAACAAAATAGACATCTCCTCTATAAGTCATGGCCAGCGTATAACACCCACTGGCAAGCGTCAGAATTTACCAATGTGTTCGCCCATTAGCAAGCGTCAGAATTTAACGGCCATATCAGTAAACATGTCGACATGTGCTAGCGTTTAACCCCCACTAGCAGGGTCACTAATAACATGACCACATCGGAGATAAAATAGGCAGAAGTTAACAGAAAAATCATAATTCACCAATCACTTTCAAATCATCAGGACAATCAATTAAATTTCAAGTAGGCATGCTCAATTTAATGAAAAGGCATAAAAATTTCACTTCAAATCAGTCATACTTACTTTTGCATAAAACGGGTTTAGTCTCGCCATCACTTTAAAAACAAGTCAAAACAAAAACTGTGTAGGCATTACCATAAATTTACTTACCTCACTCGCATAAAACCGAAGACTCGATCTCAATGCTAAACTGACAGAACGATCAAGAACCTAATCAAAATATCCCAAAATTAATACCGCACTACCACAAATTCAAGTGAAATCATTATTAGGACTACTCCTAATCACAATGCTATTTCTATCAGTCTCCACATTATCAGATATCTCCAAATTCGTTCTTATATTACAAACTAAACATTTAAATCTCCGTTAATTGTTGGCCATTAGTGCGTAAACAGTACCTGTGAAAAGTAACTGCACTTCCAATATTGGCCAAAACACTAGCTAATTTCACGGGATTGTTCTCCAAAAATCTCATAGCAGTCAATTAACACTCAATCACATAAATCCCACTTGAATCAATGCTTAAACTTTATCCTAAAGCTACCAGAATTCATCCCCATTTCTCAGCAAATTTCGGACATACAAGGCAGCAAATAAATGGCTAATTTCAGCAGTTAAATGGGTAAATTTTGGACTTAGAGAAGTTGCCACATACTAGAATTTAGCAGCCAAAAACCGGAGCTGCAGTTGGGGGAAGGTCGGCGGCAAGTGCAGGAGAAAAATCACGCAATCTACCGAAAATTGGAGAAACCAAGAGAGATTAAAGTAAACCCAAGCCAAATCAAGTGAGAAAAGGGGAATTTCGAGCTGTTTCTTACCAAAAATCAAAGCAATTCGCACCCACAAGCAAGGAAGAGCAGTTGACGGTGAAGACAAAGGAGAGCAGATCCGGGATTTCTGCTGCAAAGGGGAAGATTTCCAAGCTTAAATCTGGTTATTAAACAAGAAAATAAGGGGAAAATCCAAGCTTCTTATCGGTTTTCTCAAGGGAAAATGTCACCGGCAGCTGGGCTTGGTTGTTTAGTGCAGGGAGAAGAAAAGAAGAGCAGACACGCGGGTGAGGAAGAAGAAAGAAGGAAAAAAAAAGTAATTCATCCTTATCCAAATCTTTTCCCTCTTTAAGTCCCTCAACTTAGCAAATTTTTGATATTAAGCCCCAACATAATATTTCCTCTCATAAAAGTCCTTAACTTAATGTTAAAATTCCAGAAATTTTGTGATATTACATATGTGTTGTGTATAATTAAATCAATAATTGGAATAAAAGCTGGGTTTTTCCATTTTGTCTGTGAGATTGGGAAAATTATGTATAGGTGTTTGTGTACATATATATATACACAATCCGGTCAATGAAAATAAATAAATAAATGAAATTGCTTATAGAATTAATTGTTGGATATTTTGGTTAGGTTCTTGATCCTTGGGGCATTTTAGTACGTGGATTGAGTCTTCGATTTTATGCGAGTGAGGTAAGTAAATTATGGTAACGCCCTCTGATTTTAAAGCACATTTTAGCTTGTTTTTGAAGTGGTGGCGGGACTAAACCTGTTTTACACAAGTATGATCGATTTGAAATGAAATTATTATTATTTTTATTGATTTGAGCATGCCTTCTTGGAGTTTATGTAACTGCCCTGATGATTTGGAAATTATTTGTGAATTATGATTTTCCTGTTAACTTCTACCTGTTTTGTCTCCGATATGATCATGTTATTCGTGTGCTCGCTAGTGGGAGGTTTATAAACTCTAGCACATGTCGACATGTTATTGATAGAATCGTTTCGTTTCTGTTATACTGTTATTTTGCTGGTGGGATTATACACTAGTAAATCGTGTGCCTGCCAGTGGGAGGTTTATAACACTGGCCATGACCTATATAGGAGATGTCTATTTCGTTTCCGTACTCATACCTGTTTTTTCGTGATTATACTTGTTGGCATGCTATAAGTTTATTTAAGAGCTATCCATATTTACTTACTAAATTATCTCATAGTTTTTCCTTGTCCACCATTTCTGGAAGCGAAGTTAAGGACGGGGAAAAACGAGGGGACTGACGAGTTAGACGGCTAGCCATCTTGTAAATTGAACATAGATTTAGATATAAATCATGATCTTGTAAGATAGACTTTATTTAGAGATTTTATGATATCAGAGCAAATTTTATAATTTTATCTTCAGATTGAGTGGTATCAGATTGTGGTATGATAAGTTCCGAGCCTTGTGCATTCGTGGGACCCGTTCACGAGTGCATGACGTTTGCCACATCCCGGATTTGGGTTCTGGGGTGTGACAGATTGAGTGGTATCAAAGCTTAGGTTTAATTAAATACCTAGGTTTAATTGAATACCTAGGATTTGTTTAGAACTTGGCTGGCCAATGGATTTTAGAACTGTGGTGAAACGAGTGATGGGGTTATATAAGGAACGATTCTGATTCATGTTGCCTGAATTTTCTAATCCATTTTGATGAGATGCTAATCTGATTGTTCTTGTTTCTTGCCTTCATACCTTGTGTAGATTCATGAAATTAATCTTGTCCGCCATGTTCTTAAGACCTTGTTTTAAAACTTGGTCATTTTCTAATAGTCTGCACTTGTTTAGACTTGTTACTTGAATAGAATTTTTGTATGCTCTTTTGCCACAATTGTAAAATCTGGGGAGTTGTAGAGATCTTTTGTTATTGATCCTGTTAGTCTCTATAGCATAGCTAGTTGAGAAATTTGTTCTGTTTGTCACATGACCAGTGGAAGGTGGGCAACCCTCTACTTTGTAAGAGATTCAAGGCTATTTTAGCAAATGTTGTGTGTTTTCTAGATGTGTTTTAGGAGCTGGATAACTTGGTAATTTCGCTACTCATTATTTTTTTGAAAGTCTTATAGTGAAGTTTCACTTTTTCCATTTGAAGCTTCATGGTCTTTTCATGTGGCTCATTTTTCTATATTGGTTAATCAAGAACAGTGATCAATTCAATTGAAATTGCCGTGTTTTTGTGAAGATTGGCAAGTTGTCATAAAGTTAAACTCTCTATTGTTGCTAATCTCTACATTCTTGATACTTGGAAACTGCTTAAAACTCTTGAAATCCATCTTGAATCTTTCTTGAGATTGCTTTGTACTTGTTCTTAAAACTGAAATCCAAAGGAAATGGATAATGATTATTAAAATCCTCATTATCTTGATACTTGTCTGAAATTAATTCTTGCACTGTTCTTGGAGTCTTATCTTGAACCTTGTCTGGAGTAAAGTCATGTTAGCATCCTTGTCTTGAAAATCAATTGATATTTGGTTTTTGGAATCTATTTCGAATTGTCCTTGAAAACCATTCTTGTCCTGACTCTTGCTCTTGCTCAAATTCTGTATACTGCTCTTGCTCAAATCCTGCATATTCTACTAGTTCTTATTTTAGTATACCTGTTGATCTTCTTGATTTTTGATTTTTGTTCATATGGACACCTTTTTAGGAGGGGTGATGATTATTAGAAAATACCTATATGAGGCATCCTAATTCTTGTCTCTTACAAGTGATGATTATTAGAAAATACCTATATGAGGCATCCTAATTCTTGTCTCTTGCAAGTGTTACTCTCTGTATTCTTGATGTCTTAGCTTTGACTTGACTTTAGGATGTCTAGGATGACTTGATTGTAAATCTGCTCAGCCTCCATGGGCTACGAGGTGAAGGGGTAGTCTTTGAAGTACTTGATGCCCTAGAGTTTTGTTCCAAGAGAAATGGTTCTTTTATCTGGCTGCTTTGATTTTTGTTTGCCCTTTTAATTAGAAGATTGTAATCTTCTAAGTATCCTGATCCCACTATTGATTATTCTGTTAATTAATTCGTGTTACTTGGGGTGCTAGATCTTGACATCAGGGTTATATCTGCTCTTGAATCCATATTTTGGTTATCATTATTGAAATCTTTCTTGTGGGCCTAATTCTTGAATTCTATTGCTTGTTTCATGGTTAACTCTTGTCTCTCAATTTTGACTGCTTGGTTAAATTTGATCTTGATTCTTGGTGAATGTTGTTTTGTTGCTGGAATTTTTGAGGCATTCTACCTTGCACTCTTATGTTCCAGTATTCTTCCAAGCATTCATATTTTCCACTGATTTCATTCTGATGCTATTTTGGAAATTTCATGTGTTATTTGATGGGTTTAGCTTTTAACTCTTGTTAATTGCTAAAATATGTCTCTTGATTCCAATTGTTTTGTTAAACATGATCTTACTTATTGGTTAACCTTGTTTTATGGCAAAATGTATAAGGCATCCACGCACTCATTCATTCATTCATGATTCCTACATCCATTGGATGCTTATCCGTCTTTGATAAAGTTCAAAGTTTTGCTATACTCATCTTTAAATCCATGCCATTCTTTGCCAACTCATCTTTGTGTTGGGTTCATAGCGTAACCCCACAATTGATCTTTTGTGGCTTTGGCAGGATTTATTTCTATTCCTTGTGCTTCTCATATCACCTCAGCCTCCAGTAGCTTGTTTCATGGTAAATCCTGTTAAGTAGTTAATATTCTGCTTTTATGATTAGTTGTGATTTGATATCAAAGTGGCGCAGCAAAAGTGTAGTAGGCTATGTTCTGTTCATAAAGAGTTGATGAGGCATTTGTTTTGTCTTGGATTGTGTGAAGCCATTCACCACTCAAAATGATCATAGATTTGAGTTTTCGGGACAACTCCTTTTTAGGAGGGGTGAATGTAATATCCCAAATTTTTTGATATTTAAGCATTTAATTAGGGGCTTAATTGTGAAAAAATAACATTGTTGAGCCTAATCATCAAATTTTCAAAACTTGAGAGACTTAAAAGAGAAAAAGATTGGATAAGGATGCGCTGATTTTTTTTCTTCTTTCTTTCTTCCTCAGCCCGTGTGTCCTGCTCTTCTTCTTCCCCGACCCCCCTTACACCGAACAAGGAAGCCCAGCCATTGACGCCCCCTTGCTAAAAAAAATCGGTAAAGCTTGATGATTTTCCCTTATTTTCTTGTTCAAGAACAAGATTTAAAGCTTGGAAATCTTTCCCCTCTGCAGAATTTCCAGATTTGCTTTGTTCTTCCTCCTCTGCCGCCAGTTGCTGCTGGGTGTGAATTTCGATTTTTCCTGGTAAAAATCAGCCATGAATTTTATCTTTTTAGCTTTGATTTGCCTTGGGTTTACTCTAATTTCTCTTGGTCTCTCCCAATTTCCGGTAGATTTCTTGATTTTTCCTTCCATGCCCATCGGCCTCCCCCAAACCCGCCAGCTTCGGTTTGCTTGCTAGAAATTCTGGTATGAGACAACTTTTAAAACTGAATTTTAAGCCATTTAATCGCTGCCTGTGCTGTTGAATTTTCCTGTTGTAATATGGAAGAACCCGTTTATTGTTGCCCCTGTACTGTTCAGGAATTGCTGCAGAAAAAGGGAATAAATTCCGGCAGCCTTTGAACATGTTTTAAGTTTAATTCATGTAGAAAATTAGCTTATTTTGGCTGCTGTGATTTTTGGAGAAAACCCCGTGATTTGCTATTGTTTTGCCAAAGTTCAGGTTCTCCCTTTTCTGTCCGTGAATTTGGACAATTTGGTATATATTTGTTGTGTATAATTAAATCAATAATTCGAATAAAAGTTGGGTTTTTCCATTTTGTCCGTGGGATTGGGAAAATTATGTATAGGTGTTTGTGTACATATATATATATACACAATCCCGTCAGTGAAAATAAATAAATAAATGAAATTGCTTATAGAATTAATTCTTGGATATTTTGGTTAGGCTCTTGATCCTTGGGGCATTTTAGTACGTGGATTGAGTCTTCGGTTTTATGCGAGTGAGGTAAGTAAACTATGATAACGCACTCCGATTTTAAAGCACATTTTAGCTTGTTTTTGAAGTGGTAGCGGGACTAAACCCGTTTTACACAAGTATGATCGATTTGAAATGAAATTATTATTCTTTTTATTGATTTGAGCATGCCTTCTCGGAGTTTACTTAACTACCCTGATGATTTGGAAATTATTTGTGAATTATGATTTTCCTGTTAACTTCTGCTTGTTTTGTCTCTGATATGGTCATGTTATTTGTGTGCCCGCTAGTAGGAGGTTTATAAACGCTAGCACATGTCGGCATATTATTGATAGAATCGGTTCGTTTCTGTTATACTGTTATCCTGCTAGTGGGATTATATAATAGTAAATCGTGTGCCTGCCAGTGGGAGGGTTATAACATTGGCCATGACCTATAGAGGAGACGTCTATTTCATTTCCGTACTCGTACTTGTTTTTCGTGATTATACTTGTTGGTATGCTATAAGTTTAATTAAGGGCTATCCATATTTACTTATTGAATTATCTCATAGTTTTTCCTTGTTTACCATTTTAGGAAGCGAAGTCAAGGACGAGGAAAAACGAGGGGAGTGACGAGTTAGAAGGCTAGCCATCTTGTAAATTGAACATAGATTTAGATATAAATCATGATCTTGTAAGCTAGACTTTATTTGGAGATTTTATGATATGAGAGCAAATTTTATAATTTTATCTTCAGATTGAGTGGCATCAAATTATGGTATGATAAATTCCGAGCCTTATGAATTTGTGGGACCCGTTCACGAGTGCACGGCGTCTGTCACGTCCCAGATTTGGGTTCTAGGGCGTGACAGTTTTAGAAGAGAAACTTCTAGATTTTGGTTGATCATATTTGGACCACTGCAGATTCAAATAACTTGTTTGGACCAACTATGGTTTGAATATCATGGCCAGGTTTGAAAAATGCTCTATATAGAACTTGTATCTATAACAGAATCTCAAGTATGAATTTTCATGCAACATTAAACTTGTGCACAGGTATGGGTTGATTGTCTGTTATTTTGCTAACTAATTATATAATACATAATAGTTGTGTTTTAGGGTTAATAATAATGTATAGAGTTTTCATAATAATGTTAAAATTACCAAGTAAAAATGAACATGCAACTAATTTACATACTTATATACATTAGAAGTTATATTCATTGAACTTGCCATACAAAATAAAGGAAATTGTGTCATTTTTTTATACATATATAAGTCTAAAGTCCTATTTATTATAAAATGAGGCCTACAAATGTGGTGTCCTAGGGGCAGCAATGCCATTGGTAAAGAAGGTGTCATGCCAAGTTGCTGGTGTAGGAACTGTAATGATTCAACTAAATTTGAATTTGATTCTTTTAGAGTAGCAAATTATGCCTATAGCTCGGCTTGAGTCCCTTGTAACTCCTTCTTTAATGTCTAAACAATTTGCAATAACTCATTAACTTGGGAATAGTGCTGCATCATAGGTGGCCTTGAAGGTTCCTGTCTAAAGATGTTGACACCTACATATTGTAGATAGGTGTGAATGTCAAAACCTCTTAGCCATCCCTTCCTCACCTACTCGTTGCTTTAAGTAACATATCTCCATGGATTTGTGTATGGTCGAATCTTTCGTCCCCTTCTTTACTGCATGCTTAGATGACAACTTTTCCTAAAATCAATAAAACACACAAAAAACTGTTAATATTAATATGGAAAAATCAATACTAGTTAAGATAATAATATAAATATATAATTATGTCATATATACAAACTTCAATAAATGAAATGCATATCCCAGTAAAAATTTGTGAAAGTTAAAAATTTATGAGTTTAGAGTATCTAATAGAAATTTAGTTTAATTTGACAATCTCTCTTAAAAGTTGGACTTTTAACTTGTTATCAAAAAATTTCAATATAATAGATACTAAAACATCAATAAGTTTGATTAATCCATGCTGAAATTTTTAAAAATTCAACAATCACCCCTAAAAATTGGAATTCTACTGTGTCATAAATAAATATAAAAATAGAAAATGCATGCTGATATTCAACATAATTTGTACAATAACAAACCAATGCTATTCAAAATTAACTTCAATCTATCAATAAATCATTTCAAGTAGGAAAATGATCTGTACATTCTCAGTTAACACATTTTCTAACACACTTTTAGTTCAACTATTAAAAATATAATATAAATATAGTTGATTCAGCTGATTCATGCATCTTATGTGCATGATTGTATCTTTAAACTTGTTTACCTTTAATTTCATACTAAGAAATAGTGATTTTTTAATGATTGTATTATGTAGTGTGTTGAACCAAGTATGTACCAATTATTGTTCTTTCAAGTATTATACTTCATATTATTAAATACTTACACTAATCTTCCTTGCCTCATCTCTATAATAAGTGGGCAATTGATCTTTTCCTTTAAGTTAAAGTTGCCCCTTGCTTATGTACAGCTTTGGGAATGAGGGTGGTCGACCCAATGGATCTACATTTTGTTGTAATGAAAAAATTTATAAATATTAAAAAAAATATATAATAATATAAAAATATTGCTAATAAACTTACAAAATCATGGTTAACTTCTATACAATTTTCTTCTTATATGTAGTAACATTCATGGACCCATTGGTTTGTGTCACCTTTGGGCCTTTGGCTTGATTCACCTTTGTCACATTGGATTGCTTAATATGATCTTCATCTTGAGAAATTGATGAAAATATTTTAATGTAATATTATAATAAAATTAAGTGTTACTATTGGTAATATTTAAAAATTTTAATATAATAAGTTACTGTATTACCTTGGTTCATATATGAATAGGCTTCTAAAAGAGCTTTCTATGCTTCACTTGAAAATTATCTTATGCTTCACTTAAAATTTAACCTACGCGCACCTTGTTTTCAACTCACTTAATGCTTGCTTGAATAGTAGCATCAACAGTAGTGTTAAGAACGATATCAACTATAGCATCTTTCTGTATCCAATGTTGAGGATATAAAAAGTTTTGAAAAATTCATCAGAAGAAAACAAAGGAGCTCCCCCTAAATTCATGCATATGAACATTTATGTCAACTAAGATCATCAAAAACATCAAAGTCAAGCATAGTTTTAAATGTTCATAATCATTTTAACCATCTAAGTATACTTATAAGCACATTACTCCCACTTAATTAAGGCAGTAATGGGAGCATGAACATAATCAGATAATAATATGATCAAAATCATACTCAGCATGCATAAGAGATAAGATCAATTAAAGATCTAAGGATGAACATATATTAGTGAATATTAAAAAATCTTATGAATTGAGATCAATCATGACTCTACAAACATTCAAGTGCATGACACTCATACTTTCACATAATCCAATATCATCAAAATCATCAATCAAATCAATCATGCCTCATCATAGAACTTCAAGTTTATATGTAAGTCATTAAAATTACTCAATCAATATAAAAATTTAGAAAGTATCATCGAAATGGTATATATGGCATTGAAAGACATCAAGAACTATATATGATAAATAATTAATAGAATTATTCATATAGGTCAAGCATGCAAATATCACAAAAATAACATATAAATAGAAATCAACAAAAATGAAGACTTATCAAATAATATCCAACTCAACATGTAGAATATCATTTCAAGCGTAAGACTCACCATTCAAAACATTATTTCAAGCTCATTCCAAATATAAATATTATTCCAAATATAAATAGTATATGCATCAAAGAATAAGCGCATAGAAACAAATCATCATAATCATATTCATGCAATTATACTTAATGAATAAATACAATAAGATAAATGATACCAATTAGAGCGCGAGTGGAGCACTCAAAAATAAATTTTTCTTTACACTTCCACTCTAACATTCTTGTTGAGAATAAGTCTTTATCAAAATCAACTTTGCTTTTCTTATTACTTTGCCATCAACTTTATCTATAAAACAAAATCAAGTTTTGATTTTTGGTACCCAAATTTGCTTAGGTCCTTAGGAGTTAGAGCTTAAAGTTCCTTTTGGAATCCAAATTTGCTTCACTTTGCCTTGAATTATTAATTTCTTCAAAGGAACACATGGGCAATATGTCATTTTTCTCCACAACAATAACAAGTAATTTTAGAATTAATGAATTGATTTGCTCTACAAAGAAGTTCTTAGAAGTCTTTTGCTTTCAGAATAACCAAATACAATGCCCCTTTCGTCAAAAACACTTCTTTGGGAACTCAAGATAGAATAAAAAATTTCCTTACTCAAAGTGAATTTGAAAATGACATTCTCAAGATCACAAACTTTCTTTTTCTAATTATCATTTTCCTTTTTCAAAGCATTATTAGATTCTTCATCCTTCAAAGATGTAATCCCAACATTCAAAGAGGCATTCCCTTTAACTAAAACCTCATTTTATTTCGAAAGAGATTCAAGCTCATTTTTAAGTAAAGAGATAGATTTAATAAGAGTAAAATTCTCATTCCCTAGTCTCTTGATATCATTAATGAAGCAATCAAGTACTCTACAAAACTCTTCATAAGAATAATCATAAAAGCTACCATGAAATGAACTAGAAGAGTTAGAGTTTACCTTTTCATTAAAAAAGCTATCAACTTGAGCCACAAAGCAAGGATTGGACACATAATCTTCAAAGGAGCCTTCATTCCCAAATGAACTGTATTCATCATGGCTTCATGTAGCAACAAATGCTTTCTTTTTCTTGCCTTTCTTCAATTTGGGGCATTCATCTATATAGTGTCCTATATCATTACACTTACAGCATTTGATATGCTTCTCACTTGGTTCTCTTCTATCATCATCATCACTGCATATTCTTCCTCTAAAGTAGTGAACTCCTTGTTTCTTGTAGAGAATTCCCTTTTGAGGCATTTCTTCATATCTTTCTCACATTTTTTTGAAACCAATTTGGTGATGTCCTCTTCATTGATAGACTTATCATCAGTTTCATTGGATTTGAAGGTTAGATTCTTCTTTCTCTTAATAACTTCTTCATCACCAATCAAATTGATCTTATGAGTCATCAAAGACCTAATAAGCTCATCAAGCTTTATTAAGTTGAGATCCTTGGCTTCTTCAATGGCCATCTTCTTTGCTTCTCAACTTTTTGGTGGACATATAAGAACTTTTCTCATCAATTCACTTGTTGGATATGTCTTCCCAAGAGCTTTAAGGTTGGTGATGATTTCATTGAGCCCTACATACATGTTGGCAATGCACTCATATGATTCCATCTTGAGAAGCTTATACATGTGAATGTGTCTATTGATTTTGGACTCCTTCACTTGGTTAGTGCCTTTATGAGTAGTCTCGAACATGTCTTGAATCTCTTTGGCCATTTCACATCCAAAGGTTTAATTAAATTCCATTCAATTGAGAGCACATTGAAGCATGTTAATGGCCTTGTTGTTGATGTTGATCTTCTTTAAGTCATCATTTTCCCTTTAACATTCACTTTTAGGCATTTTAACTTCTCCAACCTTTTTCATAGGAACATATAGCCCATTCATAGTGAGAAGCTAGCTTAAAGACTCCAAGACAAGGGCTAAATTGAAAATTTCAATTTTTTTTTCTTTTTCCAACCACCAAATGAAAAATCAAAGAGAGTATAAAAGTAGAGCTTGCACAAGTGATTTTATAAAAGTTCGATCCAACCGCTTGGCACTTAATACTTTACCTTGTCTTCACTTATTAAGCATTTCCTCCACACTTTCCAACTAGTGCTCAAGAGTAGCTTAAAGGGGCTACACAATCCTTTTGCCATGTGGTTTTCACTTAAACACTCCTCTTTACAAAGAACCCCAACAAACCTCATTTGGTTTCTCTCTTGAAGCCTTCACTCACCCTCGAGTATATCTTCTTAAAGCTTCACTCACTCTTAAGGTCACAAAGAAAGGGTAGAAAGAAGGAATATAAAGAATATGATCTCTCAACTCAAACTCTTGAAAGGATTTATAAATCTAAACTCAACTCTTATTTTTGATCTTTTAATATGTGTCTAGAGGCTCTCCTAGATATTTACCAATCATATTTATTAGAGCAAGGTTGAAACTAGTAGTTTATGGCCGTTGAGATGCATTAAATGCTCAGTAGATGCATTAGATTCAAAAAACTAGTCGTTACTATCCAATCAAGAGTTAAATTTAGAAACCAAAAGTTGAATCTATAAAGCCTTGATTTGACTCTCCAAACCAAGAGTAAACTCTCCACACATTTTTGGAATTTGGCCAATTTTTTCTCCATGTAGACCAAGAGTATTAAGAGTTGAATCTTAAAACTAAAAGTCAAATATTGAGCTTAAAGAGTTGATTCTCCAAATGGAGAGTTGAATATGCCTTGCATCCAAATCTTTCTAAGCTCTTTAGAATTTAGGAGGTGAATCTTGCTACCCATATTCAAATCTTCAAGCTCATTCAAACTTCAACTTCAAATCATCATGTCTTACTCATTCAAACTCCATTTTGAATGTTCTTATATTCAGTGGAAAGCTTGAGATCTCTACTTTCATATGAACTAACTCTAAAACCAAAACTTTTACTATAGACAAATATCTTTTTGAATGAATGAGTGGAGGCCATTGTTCCAATGCTCAATTGATTTTATGTAAGTTTTGTCTCTAAAATTCTTTCCTTTGGTCTTACACATTTTCACAAAACTCATAAACTTTTCTAATGGTTCTATTATCATCAAAATCATCAAAAGAGTTCAACATACTTAACACAATTTGAGATCCATGCATATAGGTGGGCTATCAATTTGCCCTTTCCACTTATAACTTGAAATAATCCAACACAATAAATTCGAGACCCATTATGATCCAATCTAAATGCACCTAACTCGATGCATTAGCCAAGTCCATTTCATACAAAAGTTTAAAGAGTAAAATAAGGTTTTAACCAAATTACACATATTATTGTCCTTGCATACTTTTAAATAGAGTAGATTTTGGTTTTCTTTACCCCTAAAATAATTATATTCTACTATGTCAAAAGAAGAAAATAAAACACATAATTTTTAATTTTTAATTTTTAAATTACTACTTTATAAGGAAAATTTGCAAGTATGGCATTAGAAACAACGAAATAAATAAAAAGAACAAAATGAATTCAAATATAAATTATGTGGGTGGTACTTTACTAGCTATAAATTATAGTAAATTATAGTTCACTCTCTCATGATTAGCCATTTTCTCTAGCTGTAACTTTAAATAAGTGAGCTTAGTTTTTGTTCCTCTTTCTTTCAATGAGGAAACATAGGTTCATATTAACTAAACTATTTGAAGTTGACATATGTATAGACTTACAACAGATGCTTTGTGTTCTCTAAAAGTAGACAAACACTTTGGTGAATGAGTTGCTTCATTAGATTTGTGGATGCTACTATTGTGAGGACTTTGATGAGATTTTCTATGTTTTGAATTTAGCAAAAGAAGGATTACATGAAGAACATTTTGGAAGAGCCTTGGATGCAAGTGTTTTGCAAATTTTTCTTTCAATCAAGGTAAGGACACCGAACATTACCAAAATCTTAAATTCATATTAGTACAAAATGAGATGAAGGGATTAGAGTGTTGTACCTATGATTTTGATTATTAGAAAAACACATTTGAGTGACTAATTGGTTCATTTAAGTATGTAGTTAAACTTCTAAAAGATTGCAAAAGTAAGTGAACTTGGATTTGCACTAAAAAGGACCAAAATGGCTGAAAAATGTGCAGAGAGCCGGCTTAAAGAAATTTGCAACCAATTGTGGAAGGCAAAAGTGCAGAGAGTTGGCTCTAAAAGCTACAGTCAGCTCTACGGGTGAATTTCAAGTTTGAGGTTTGGCATGCGAGGAAAACGAACACAGAGGCGGCTTTGACTTTGCAGCCGACTGTAAGGGTGCATTTAATGCACAATGGTCAAGTTATTTAAGATTAATTAATGTTTTAAAGTTGGAATCCCAAAGCCAGCTTTACATTTTGTAATCGGCTGTGTAAGAAAACAAAATGTGCAAGAAACTAGCAAAGCCGGCTCTAAGAATCTACGCTGGCTCTATGGAGAAAACAGAATGTGCAGGAAACCCATAAAGCTAACTGCAAATTTTTTAAGCTGGTTGTGGAGCTGGCTCTAGAGTCTAAGCTGGTTGTGCTGACAATTCTACAATTTGAAATTACACGTCCTACAGAGCATTAAATGATCCCCAATGGCTAGAAACGGCTATTTTCGAGTAAAGGGCTATAAATATAGTTGGTAGCAAATCTATAACAAGTTTGAAGAGCTTTGTATTGAATATCTCTACCTACCAACTTGTGTTTTAACTTGAGTTCTTGATCTTTAAGTGATCTTTACTTGTAATCCTCTTCTTGTTCTATTTGTGAGTGATCTTGGGGGTGTGTTTATTCCTTCAGGAGTGATTTGTAAAAAGGATTCTTGGGGTTTAACTTATAAAGGGGTGAGATTTGAGAGAAACACCCTTTTTCTTGTAAAAGGATTAAGTGGCTCCTTTAAGCCACCATTGTTTTCTTAATGGAGAGTGTGGAGGAAATCCTTGGTAAGTGAAGCCAAGGTAGAGGATTAGGCCCCAAGTGGTTGGACCAAACCTTTATAAAATCATCGTGCATGCTCTTCTTCTCTACTCTCTTTTTTATTTTTGGTTGGTAGTTGCAAAGAGGTGAAAATCTTCCAACTCCAATTCAGCCACCTCTTGGAGTGCATTGAGCCAACATAGAGGATGCTACTATCATGAGGAATTCGATGAGATTTTCCATGCTGTGAATACAATGAAATAAAGATTACATGAAGAGATTTTGGAAATGTCTTAGACGTAGTGTTTTGCAGCTTTTGCTTTAACTCAAGGTAAGGACATTGCCTAATTCTCAAATTTGTATTAGTAGAGAATGAGAAGAGGGGACACCTTTTGTTTGGTAAAAATAGGCAGATAGATTGGTACTTAAATTATGAATTCTCATCACTATGCCTATATAGATTGTGCTCCTTAGTTGCCTTCTAAATCCTTCCCAAATATTTTAAGGGCAACATAGAACTCTTCTTGACAGAACATCAACTAGAGATGAAGAGACTTTCTGGTGAAGTCATCTTTAACATATTCTCAAGGTTGCCTATGACCCTTTGGCTGCAAACCAAGTTAGTTTGCCGTGCTTGGCAAAGCCTAACTTGTGATTCTCATCTTGTTCATAAGCATGTCTCTTACTTTCCTAAGTCTAATCCATCCATTATTTTACAAAGCACAGACCTCATTTCAAATCAACTTTACTTTGTAGATTTATCTACTAATCATAACCAAGAGAACAAATTAACAATAAAGAGAATTCAAATTTTGAAAAACATAAAGTTTAATTTTGTATGCTCTTACAATTGCGTTCTTTGTTTGGTGGATGCATACAACAATGAAGTTCATATTTACAATCCTTTTACCAAGGACTACTTGAAGCTATCGAAATTAACAACACACCATAATATGCAGTAGTTTGCGATGGTTGAATTTGGTTTTAGTCCAAGCATGAACGAGTTGAAGTTGGTGAAGATAATGACAATATGACAATAGAGAACATCGTAACTAGGCAGCCATAGGTGCCGGATGACTAATCCAAATACATACAACATAAAGTTTATCTAACGTTGGTAGGCTGCATTGGAGAAATTTAGGAAAGATTCCTTACTATTTTATCCTTTAGCACCAAGAATAAATCAATGGGAGAGTTCATAAGGTTTCTTAGCCCTATGATGGTGGGGATCGAGCATGTTTTGATCTCCTTTGATATGGAAAAGGAACATTTCAAAGAGATACCAAGGCTAGATTGTGCTGCTTTGGACGATTGCATTTATGATTTGACAACTATGAGATGCTATTTATTTGTAGTTGTGAATCGTTGTTATGGAAGGCTGGAGATATTTGTTATGAAAGAATACAGAGTGTAGGAGTCTTAGACCAAATTACGTAGTTTTTAAACATGTTTGCCAAGAGAAATGGAATTAGATGAAGGGTGATCCACTAACTATTTAAAGCCTTCCTATTTTAGTAAATCTCTTTTCAAAGTTTTATCTCTCTTAAAAAGTGGGGAGATTTTACTGAAGTACAAGACCACAAAAGTTATTTTCTATGATCTTCAACAAGGAATGTTTGAGCAACTTCGAGGAAAGCTGACTTAGTTTAAAGCAATTGTTCATGTTAGCAGCCTCAATTGGATTGATATCCTAACCAACATCTAATTTGCTACAATGTGGCGACTTGGTTGATGATGGGGAAATTATATCATTAATAAAGGATAGTGATATTGAGACAAATTTTTCTATATAATTTCTATATGTTATTAAATGAGTAGATATCTACTCATTGAACAACATATAATTAAGAGAAAACACTATCAAATAAAAGGAATTTTGTTGGTTATAAATATAACTGATAGACATATTCGACAACCATTTATGTTGGATAAACAACTATCAAAAATGATTATAACTTTAGTGACTTTAATTGACAAAATTTTTGTCGATGATAAAATGTATGGTAAGATTATGTCTGAATAAAAATCATATGTTCTAAGAAATTTAAAAAACATTATCAACAGCCACTATCTATCGGTTACAACTATATAATCAATAGAATTTTTTTGTTGATTATCTTTCTAAAACTTTGAGCCAACAGCCAATGGCTATCGATTACATTTGCTACAGCTATAAAAAAAGAAGCAAAATTCAATAAAATTTAGAATTGCATTTATGATTTTTTTTGTTAATTAAATTATATATAAAAAATTCAAACAAAATTTAATATAAATATCAAGTCTCAAACAATATATATATTAAAGAATGTCAAGAATAAAATAAAAAATAATAGATAGACATAAATAAGAGTAAAAGTAGAACTTACCTCATTTAAGATCAAAACTGTAGAAAAAAAGAAAAAAGAAAAATGCATT